AAACGTGTGCACCACAAGGGGCCTCCACAGTAAGGCTGATAAGAAAGCAGCAGAGACTGCAGCTAAGACTGCGTTAAAGACTAAGACTGTGGATCCTTCTTGCAGCGCCTTCTTTCTCTTTCTCTGCAAACCCATTGTTCCTCGCCAATGGAAGCTTATCGGATTGGAAGGATCTGATGAAAAGCCTCACCTACTGTCAGAAACAGAGATGTCTGTTGTGAGGTTCCCTCAAGTAACAGGGCGCTAACACAGATTTTGCTTTGCGATCTGGCCAAGGACTCAAAGCATTTAAAGGCTCCAAAAGGAGGAGGGAACGGAGGAGCAACCGGTCCCAGTAACGGAGGCCGCGAGGTCGAAGCTGTGGGCAGAGAAGGCGGTGGGGCCCTTGAGATTCCACGCAGGAAACCTCCAGACTGCATTATAGACGAAGAAGGGCCGGTCCGCGTTCTCTCCTGCAGACAACGGTCCCAAACAGAAGCTTCTAAAGCTTGCAAGACACCCAATTGAGTTCCATGTCTTTCTTGGACTTCTAGGCCATTAGACGTTGCCCTGAAACCACCCACCAGGCCGATTCGTGCCCAGTCGTCTTACCGACTTCTCCTTGGAAACATCCGCGTTCCGAGAAGAAAGAGGTGGAAAAGGGGAAGCACCGTTCGATGGACGGAGAAGAGATGGCATGTGGCTTGAGTCGTGGATCTTCGACCTGATGGTGCACTGAGTCCCTTTGAGGGCCGCAAGGGAAGTCCGGACATTGTTTTACAGAAGATTCCAACACTTTGAAGTTAGAAGCTGCAATGATTTGTTCGCAGCAAGGTGTGGACCCTAAGATTTTGGCTTGTGGAGGCAACGTGTCACGTTGTCTCTCGTAAGTTTCTAAGCTCCTTTTGTGTCGTGAAGCAGCATAAACATCGCCAGAAGTCTGTTCTGTACAACGCGTCCAGTGAAATTCCTGTACATGGCCTGTACAGGAGGACGGCTGCTAAGGCAGCTAGAAGCTGCAATCACGCTAATGGAAGCACCAGGCCAGGAGGTGCCAAACTGGCCGTGTTCGCATCTATTGATCCTCGAGTCCAAGGGAGGAATTCCCTTTGCAAGGCCATCATCTGTGGCAACGGGATCAGGGAAAGCCCGCACCGCAACGGGATCAGAAGAACCCCGTCCTACGTCTGCTCCTGTCGACTGGGACGACATCTGAAGCGTGTGTTGCTGTGGAGCGCTCGTCTTCCAGAAGAAAGGGCCGCATTGGTCGGGCACATGAACTGTGAAATGATCACGGAATTCTATCTTCGAAGCTGTGCTGAGGTTTGCCTGCGATGCGGGGGATTGCGGCAATTCTTGAAAGCTGTGTTCAGGGTTCTGGGGTTTATCTTCAGGGCTCTGTTCCAAATGTGGGACCTGGCAATTCGATTTCTTTGGGCATGTGGGCCTCGAGGGACCAGAAGACGATATCGCCGACGATGTCGTCGATTGCTTCGTGGCGGAGCTGTCTTGATTGGACGGTCTGATGTGGTAGGAAGCTCAGGTGATCTTGGTATGTTGTTGACTTGGAGAATGAAGGAGGAGTTGCTGCCAGTGGTCCTGGTGATGGGCCACCTGAGGTCCCGATGATGGAGCCGGCAAGCCCTAGATGAAAAGAGGGGGATAGCTTCCCGGCATCGCCTTGCCCAGACAAAGCTTCTGCCGCTCGAACGCATCGCACTTCTTTGCACCTCCCGCGAAAAAAAAGTGAGTGCGTTCCTCCATGTGAAGCATCTACACTAGAGAAC